AGCCATGATTCCACATGGGCAGGCGTTTGCTTCACGAATGTAAGTGCAACGGGGGGCTCACCGGTACCGAGAGGTAAGACACTGCGTGGGAGGCAGCTGGCTGACACGCCTCCTCCCACCGGCTCACAGCCGGGCTGGGCCGGCGTTACCCACGGCTCGGGCCGCTCCAAGCTGAGGGCCCTCCCTTCCCAGGGTGGTGAGTGGCTGGGAAACGCCCAGAGGTGCTGCTCTGACACTCTTGTCCCCTTTCTCTCTGCCATTTTTCTAGACTGTGGCTGTCTCTCCCACCCTGACGGATACATCCTTGGTTTTGCCACACGAACACATTGGACCCGGGTGCCATGGGATCTTGCTCCGTGGCTTATTCTGCTTCCTGAGGTGGTTTGCAGTGTTTCCTTGACCCAAGTTCCCAGACAGGAAACTTACACATCACTTGATTCTAAATTCTTTGTCATTTCTTAATGTCTTTGTGTGATGAAAAGAAAATCCTGCACATGTAGTTCCTTATACTTGGCGAAATGTTTTTCATTTCTTTTTAATCGTGATAATTGAGCTCCTAGGTTGGGAATAGTAAATGGCTCTTTTCTCACTTTACAAATGGTCCAATAAGGAGTAAGATAAAGCGGGAAACTGAACTTCTTGCTTTCAAGCCCAATAGTCAAGCAGAAGATTCTAGGCAGCATATTTGGGTTGGGGCAGCTTTTGATATTTTCATTTATTGAACATAATAGCAACCGAATTCCCATTTGATTTAATGCCATATTCAGGGTCTGGCACAAATGATGCCCCTTTTAATGAGCTGGTAATCTATACCAAATCTTTTATTACAAAATCAGAAGCATGGAATTCTGCGACATAATAATATCACCCCCAAACCTGCCGTATGACATCCCAGGTGACATGTTCGAATTGCTGTCCATCTCGTGCAAGTGACTCACGTACCACACCAACCACACTCAATGGCGTGGCTTCCCCCAGACCCTGTATGTATATGTTCAGTATGTGTGTATCCTTGTCATCTGCTATGACGCGAGCCTGGAGGAACCGTGTTTGCAGAGGTTGGGGAAGGGGAATGTTGCCTTCCGTAGCTTAAAGACCTTCCGAATGGCGGAGGTTAGTGTGGGGAAGAGCGACGCTGAGTCGTGCTGCTGGTCCCTTTGCGAACCAGCCCTTGATCACAGGGAAATCAGGGAGTTCTGCAGGAGGAGAGGCATAAGCACCGTGGCCTTTCGGGAACACGCTGCTGTTTCTCAATCACTCCTCCAGACCTCCTGTTTTATCCAGTAAGTAGCTCTTCCATAGGGGTTTTAAAAACAGTCTATGAATATATTTCCAAAGGTGAAGCAACTAATAAAGAAACCGCTTTGAATGGATTCCGATAGCTCTTCTGCGCTAAACGGTTCTCGGACATTGATGTCTCTCTCGCTCTCTGCTTCCCTCTCCCCCTCCCTCTCACAAAGTCGTGGGAACGGGCCGTCACTCGCTCCACCAAATCCCAGAATTAGCCGGGATCATTGAATAGTAGAAGAGTGCATTTGTATACCATTTTGGCTGAAAAGTTGACTACTTTGGGAATAATAGGATGTTGACTACTCTCAACTCTTCATCTTCCTTTTTTCTTTACATCCCAACAGTTACCCAAGAAGTTTCTTCATTTGGGTTTGTGTGTTTGATTCCTAAATGTTGTCAAGTTGTATCCAGGTCAAGGGGAAAAAAATGAGAATGGTTTTGCAGTATTTTAATTGCCAGCCAGTAAATAAAATATCTAATTTAAGAAAATTTGATATACAAATATCCAACATATGAAACAATTAACATTTTGAGGATGATTATCACTTTGAAAAATAATTTATCATTTTACAAAATAATTCACTACCTTTTCTTTCTTTTTCTCTCTCTTTTTTTGTTTGTTTGCTTTTACACAGATAGTTTCCCTACGAAAGTTACTATACATTTATTTACAAAGATATTTTCAGGAACACGTCTACCACAAACAATGAGGTACCTCTTTATAGCATTCTTTCTTATAAGTGGGTTTTTCAAGATATATCAATGGTAAATGAATTGCTTTGAATTTAACCCAATTCTATTAAACTATATTTTCTAGACACTGTTCCACCCAATCCCGGCAAGACATAAAAAAATGAATAAGGTGAACAATAGCGCGATCAAGAGCGTCCAAAACACAAGGAACGTTATGCAAATGAAGGTGCGCCATCAGACCCCATCTGGGTGGTTAGGGCTTTCTGTTGAAAGGAATCTGAATAGAAGTGGAAAAGAAACCCCCAAATTACTCATTAAAAGGCCTAAAAAAAAAATCATCCCTCAACTTGCAATCCTGCTTTTGTTTTCTTCTTTTTATTTTTTCCCTACTGTTCATTTTCCTCACTGGTACCTAATACAACTATGTATTTAGAATAATATTGAATTCTAGAACATCTGGTACTAACCATACCCAACACTTTGTTTAACTTCGTAAACGTATCTGTCAGTGCCATCTGAGGGTTGTGGTAAACCATCGTTTCCAGAACGTTGCAGAACAAGAGGTTGCTGGCCCTACGTCAATTCCTCTGTGACCAGCGTGTTCACCTGTGAAGTGTCATCTCCCTAATCCTGACTGTAAATAAGCCGCTGGGAAAAATGTGTTGTTGCCTTCGTTGTCGGTGGTGTTATTTGAAGGAAGAGAGACGATGTGAAAGTCCATTCTTGTGTGTATGATCTTTACTTGGGGGAATACAACAAAAAAAACAATCATTGGAAAATACACCGAGTATTGAGAATAGGCCTACAATTCCCCTACTATTGTACATCTGACTTAGAGCTTCGGCAGTTCACTGTCCCAGGGCTAATCCTGAGTGCTGACACGTCGGACAGAGGTGTGCTGGAAGCACAGACACTTACGAGGATTATGGTTTTCTCGCGACCCACTGGGACCTCCCTTAACTCCACGGACAAACCCAGACTGAGGAATGAGCGGCGAGTCGGTGCCCGTGGCTTTTCTGCAAACTAAAATCTTCTACCTCAAGCTGAGTTCTGACATTCCATACCCCACAGGTTTTTAAAACTCGGGAATGGAACTGAGTCTAGAGAACCAAACGCCTTACATCTTTATTTTGGCACATTCCTCTGACTTTATAACAAGGGTCACAGATGTATGGTGTTTATTCATTGTCTCCTCAAAACACCATTTCAGAAGGGGCGGTGATAACCCGAAAGTCACGGGCGGATCATTCACTCGACTGCACCCCAGCATCGCCGCGTGCACGTGGCTGGCCCAGTCGGTGTAGGCCCTGGGAGGCGGGGCGCTGCGGCGGTCGGGGGCGTGGGCCGGGGCGCACCTCGAGCTGCACCCCTTCGTGTGCCCCTCGCCTAGTCTGCCCTCGCCGCTGTCCCCAGTCTGAGCAGCGGACGTGGTGAGCGCAGCGGCCACCTCCGTGTTATGCTGAGCGGCGCGCGTGCTCATGCACGCGTGGCGCATCAAACTGGCTGCCGTTGCTATTGCTGTTATTCCTTAGTTTTCACGTATTGTAAGCAGAATCCGGGTTTTGTAACACCACGCAGTTTTTGGTCAATGCTAAGTCTTACAGTTTGTCTACTCCATGGATCTATTAATAAATTTGGAAGTAAAACGAACTCAGCACTTTTCTAGTGATTTGAATTAAATGCTGATTGCATGCGGTGAGGACACGTTCTAGTATTTCCATGGTGGCTTAAGTAGACACAGGTTATGTGATTTAAGCCTTAAAAAGTTTCCGGTACCTCAGGTGGAAGCACTTCCCCTCCAGCGGCTCAATGAAGGAGGGGGGCAGAGCTAAACTACCTTGAGAACAATAGAAGAAACAAGCAATTAAGAACGTTGTCCCTAGAGGGAAAAGTACATTTCTGTATCTGCTGCTAAAATTAATTATTTTCAGGAAATTCTAATTGCCCCCCAAAAATGTAAGTTACTGCAGGAAAGAGGAAGAGAGTGTTAGGTTTCCGAATGTCTTTTGAATGGACATTATGGCACTGGTTGGAAGTAGAATTCAATTTTACTTAGATGTAAGAGTGCTGGAGTTTTCGCCGGGATATTATATGAGTGTGCCCTCCGTCACCTTGCTCGGTCTGAGGTGCTTAAACTATTCCAACTGACTGCGATTCTTTTCTGACACCGAGAATGCGGCTACCTTTTGGAAACTCAGTTCTATTCATAAAGCCTCATATCTATGCTGATGAGCAATTTAACCTGGAAAAGGCCCTGGGGAAAAAAAAAAAACACAAGAAAACTTGAAGCAAAACATTTTTCTGGAAAAATGTTAAAACCGTCAGTCATCCAAATTGATCAGAACCAACATTTCTGTACTTCCTGAAGGGAAAACCTGGGCACACTAAAACTCTGTGAAGTACACACGGCTTTCCCTTTAAGAACAGTTCGATCGGGACACCACGAGAAGCCTCCTTGCTATAATGGTGCTCTGTCCTTATCCGGCCGTTTTTAAGAAGTCACTTGTTAATACTTGTGTTTTAAAGCTAAACCGTCGGGCTGAGTGAAAAGTCCTTACCGAGTACCCCTCTCCGGAGACCCTAAAAATGTAAGAAAAGCACTAATGTTTCAGCTACATTAATTCTCGCATATAAAAATATCCATTAGAGGAGTCCACTACCACATGAAGCTGCGTTTGTTTTCCTTGAAAAAGATAGCTAAAAATATCCTGTGGCTTATTGCAACAGTACAAGAATACAAGGTGAGTTTATTTCTTAACAACAACAAAAAAATAAATTGTAAAACAAATTGTGAAAGCAAAAGCGGGCTACAAAACAAGGTTTTTTTTTGTTTTTGTTTTTGTTTTTTTGGGATAGCTTTTGCCTTATTTAAACATGTTACACGGTGTTATGTCGCAGTCGATAAATGCTCTAAAGTGTAAGTTAACATTTGCTAGTTTACTTTGAAATGCCCGCCCCCAGCTCAGAGCCCTGCGGAAAATACACGTAGGTCGGATCAGCGCCTCCCGCTTCCGGCGTCACAACCTGGTGGTCACGTAGTCTTCGTGGGCGACGGTGTCGGAGAGGGTGGCGTCGTAGTCGGAGCTGGAGTCCTCCTCCCGGGCACGCCCCCCCTTGGGGATAATGGGGACTGTGTCCTCCACCACCGCCTTCTCGGGTTTGAAGGCGCAGATCCTCTTGCCCACCTGCACGGGCAGGCTGTCCGCGCTGCGCTCCCGGTGGTCCACCAGGACGCACTGTTCGCTGAGCCCGGGGATGCTGCGCTCGCCGCGGGCCGCCAGCCCTCGCGGCTCCAGCTGAGCGCTCCTCTCCAGGGACCCCTCGGCCTGGTGCCGAGCCACCTCTTCCGAAACAGACGAGATCGGGTGTGCGTGTTGCTCCGCGGCGCTGTGTTTGGACCGTCTGTGAAACAACCCGAAATGTTTGATGTCGGCCACAAAATTCATTCTCCTCTGCTTCTCCCGCGGCGGGGGCTCCTGCCCCACCAGGGCGGAGCCGTTGCTCACGGGGTGTCTCTCTGCGGCGATGGCCGCCGAGCGTGGGTGGATCAGGGTGGTCAGGTCGAAGAGGCTGAAGTTCTTCTTCTTGTCTTTGCCTGCGGCTTCGTCGCCCCTGTCCTCCCAGTCGGCTAAGTTAGAGGAGCCCTTCTCGGCGGGAGCGGGCTGCACTGGAGAGAGCTTGCTTCCCCTCAGCAAGCCCAGGACTTCAAAGCGGAAGCTGGAGATGTCCTGCTTCAGTTCCTAAGTGAAATTTGAAATGACAAATTAGTGGGGGACTTACACAAATGCACATTGGGAACCATCAGTGGCCTGTTGCATACGATATATGGGTCTGATGGGTTCTCTGCGTTTTTTTAAAATGTATTTATTTTTGGAGAGGGGAAGGGATGGAGAAAGAGAGGGAAACATTGATGTGTGGTAACTTCTCTCCCAACCCTCCCTGGGGACCTGGCCTGCAACCCAGGCCCGTGCCCTGACTGGGAAACAAACCCGGGACCCTTTGGTTCGCAGACCGGTGCTCAGTCCCCTGAGCCACACCAGCCAGGGAAGTTCGCTGGGTTTTTAAGAGCTGGGACTCCAGCTGGGCTGTGGTTCTCTCTAGAATTTCACTCTTCCTCTTTGGCACGGTGTCATGGTTGTTGTCTATTAATGTCCATGTTTGAATTCTGTAGTAACAAGGAGACACTCTAAGGTTGACGTGAAAAGGAACAGCAAGCGTTTTCTTTTTCACCGCTGTGCCGTCGGTGCCCTGGTTTGAGAGGATTACACTTTCAAATACTGCCTCTTCAAACAGTCGTCCGCTTTCAAATCACCCCACACTCTCTCGGGGACAGCTTTGGTAAAGATCTTTCATACTGGCACATTTTGCCATCCAAAGGGACACATAAAACACAGGAAAGTGTGGCCGCCCTTCCTGCCTGGAGTTGGCAGCTACTCCGCGGATTTTACCCCCACATCGGGGGCGGCCACTGCGCCTCGCAAACTGCTTCATTCAGTCGGGCAGCCGTTCCGAGGTTCTTCCTTTTTTTCCCCTTTTCGGACACGTGAGCCCTTAGTGCCAATCTGATGGGGGCCTCTGAGGTGGGCTCCCGCCTCCAACCTCCCTCCCAAAGTACCAAGGGCCGTTTCATCCAGAAGTTCGACGCTGTGCCCGCGAAGGGCGCCCTGGGCGCCGGCCAACGCGCGGCGCGCTCTGGGTGGGCGCAGCGGATCCCTCTCTTCCCGCACTGGCCGCTCCTCTCTGCGCCCCGCACACTCGCTGCTCTTCCCTGGGAAAGGCCCCTGGGGGCGACTGCAGCTGTTTATGCCTGTAAGACCTTATTGACTTCCACCCTTCTTGCAGAATCTCTAAAAACTCAGGCAGAATAAGGGGTATTTTACACACATATTATGTGTGTGTGTGTGTGTGCGCGCGCGCGTGCGCCTACGTTTATATTTATTTATATATTTCTGTATCCCGCCTGTCTCCTCTGATAGAATAAAAATAAAACTCAGGGACAAACACTGCGTTTGTAGGTTCCAAGAACAGTGAAACCTAAAATTTCCTGCCCCCAAAGCTGTGCAGAGCACAGAGAAGGTTTTTGTGGTTGTTTTTAGCACATTGGCCACTAAGCGGTTCAGGATCAGAAATCAGACTGAAGTTCCCAAACGCAAAGCCCCAGCGGAGCGTGGGAGGGTTGGGAGAGCGTGGGAAGGTCCAGCAAGCCGGGCGCTGGGACCTCCTCTGCCTCCAACAGACCCTGGGGATGTTTCAGGTTCAGTGTGTGTGAAAACAATGCATTTTGAGAAGAAGTGTCACCATGTGCGTGTGCGTGTGTGTGTGTGTGTAATTCAGTAGCGCTTTCCTTTGAAACCAGAAGGCCCACAGTCTCGCAGGCGCCCACTGCTGCCTTGGGCCCTGATTCTAACTGCTTGGCGCAGGCTCCGCGCTCGGCGGGCCCCGCCGCTGGGTGGCACCCCCGCAACCGGGACAAGCGTCGTCACCTTGAAGTTCTCCTCGGTCAGGCCTTCCTCGGTGCGGGCGTCTCGGATCATCGCGGCCACGTAGCGCTTCACCAGGCTCCTCATCACTTCCTGGGGGTGTCAGACAAGGGGACGGACGGTCAGTGCGCGGAGCCGGTTTCTCCCTCGTCGGCTCGGAAGAGGGGACAGGCCTGCGCTTCAGGGCACGTTTCGAGGTGCAGCAAGGGAATCGAACTCACCTGGTACTGGTGGTGTCGCCTCAAGTTGTCAGCCGCCCGCCTCTGAAAAGGAAGAGGATGTGTGCTTTTCAGTGACAGCGATCTGGTCCCCACTCTGGAAACTAACTCGTTTGTGCTATTTCTTCAAAGTCGGTGTTTAACGGGACAATGGGACAATGGACAACGGCTAGAGAGCACTTCACGTGAACCCAGAGAAGGAGCGAGCCAGAACAGCCACGCCAAGGCTACAGTCTGTGCGGCGCTGGCGCTACAGAGCAAGTGAGAAATGGTGCAAATGCTGCTTTTCTGCGATGCAGCGATGGAGAACGAGGTCATTACAGTGCCCACGCCCCCCAAGGCACTTGAAATGATGGTAAGAGACACAGACGGCACATGTCAAATAAAAAATAGGAGAAATAGCAAATAAAAAAAATTTTGACCGAGTCAAAAGCTAGCATTATAATGATATAAAGGTCTTCATCAATACCAGCATAGCAAGATTCAGTAGGTAACATGATACATAGAACATGTAACCAGAAACACGCTATAAACATCCTGACACTAATTTCAGTTAGGTGCACATTCAGGGGGGATTGCTGTTTTAATTATATGGTTGGATTTAATAAAAATGAAAAAAAATTCTGCTCAAACACAAGGTTACTTATTGCAAACTTATTTTTGAAATAAACATGAGTCCCGGACATCACTCTGAAGAGACCAGAGAGGACAGGGAGCAGAGCCGTGAGTGCGGAGGGCGGGCTGAGGCGGGAGGTGCTTAACGACCGGAAAGGGTCCCTCGTCCACTGCGCTAAGTAGTGAGTGGTACTAACATTCTGTATTTGCACATTTCACTATTCTAAAGATATTAGAAGAAAGCTATCCTAATCCCAATTTTATGTATGTAACATAAATGCCAATATTGATTCTTAAAGAAGACAACTAGCCAAATCACCTTTATTTAGAAATAAAAATATTTCTCAAATACAGGAATGAATTTGATAAAGTGTGAGAAAGCAAAAGAAAGAACATATCTTAGGTTTAAATAAGTCTTTTGAGGTCGTTCTTTACTATATATTTAATTACAAATATTTAGTCACAGGTTGATAAAATTCGATTTTGAAAAGAGATACGCATACCTCATTGTGAAATGGTATTAGGAAAAATCGAACAATTCAAGACACTTCTTCTCTAGGGGGGTAGAAGAAATGGCATTTTTAGTGGCCCAGAGACGGGGTTTGCGTTTCCTACTGGAAACTTTTAGGAACAGATGAGACGATGCTTCAGCTTGCTGAAGGCTGCTAATTATAATGAACACCATTTGCTGTAACGCGAACCTTAAGAAACAAATTCTCAGTATGATTGTGGTATTCATTAAAAACTGGAAAATGTGAAATAATACAAAATTAGAACCTCTTGAAAAAATATTTTGTGCCTGGGCCACCAGATGGAGGTATGCAACTCCTTTTGAGACAGGGCTTAGTGACAATCAAAGACAAAACACCACGGCGGTAAGAGAGCGAGCCTTTTCGACCTCCCGGGGTTTGCTGCAAGGGAACAAACAGGACAGCAAGCCGTGCGCCAGCCTCGTTAACGCTCTTGCCATGGATACGGCACAGGGGACCGGTGCCCCGTGACTTAAATAGGCAGAAACTCCGAGTTTATCATGGGATTCAGTCGACGCACATTTTATTAATTTAGGGTTCTACAGCATTTCACCATTCTATTTGAGTCTTTAAAACATCCCTAAAAGTCAACAAAGAGCAGTTTGAAGCCATAATTTAACTTTAAATTTCCTTAATGTACAACTAACTGTAAGGACAGAATCATAAAATTAGGAGTAACGAGTAAAAATTGTCATAGTGCGTTAGTATAACCTCATTCCTGTATACATTTTAAAATTTTAATACAAATATAAGAAGATCAAAGAACCTTCTAAAAAATAATTTCAGGTTTATTTTTATGGGGCAATTTTTTCAAAGCAAATAATCTGGCAGAAAGAAAGAACATAGAAAAGTTTACCAAGATAGATTTTAGGAGCGATTCAATGGCCGTAGCCCCGAATAAGGCTAACAGGACTAATGGTTTTTGCTCACCAGTTTTTTCCAATTTACACAATTCTGCTACAAAACAATTTTTAGTCTTTACGATTAGATCAGCCAACCGAACTTGAGTATCCTAGGACAATAAGAATGAATGGTCTTCTGAATACTGAAAATAAAAATAAATGTAATACATTTACCAAATGATGGTTACTGAATTCTGCAGCTCAGCTCTCTCTCATGTCAACACAGTCGTCTCTCGGGGAGCATCGCGGGACTGATTCTTGTGTTCCTGACCACGACCACAGTGCCTACGTGGGTTCTACTTTTGTACTTTCTGGCAGGGAGGCTGGCGTGGGATTAGAGCCATGGACTGAGGGGCACACCTGGGTCTGAAGTTTGCGGAGCCTGAACAAGGACTTGATCTATGAGGCTCTGTCCCCTCCCCTTGTTGTACTTTCAAGGTGAAGATAGATACGCTGGGAGATTTTAAAGGTTGAATAACACTGCATTTTGCCATGTATAACGCACACCCATGTTTTTGTGCCCATTATACATGGGATTACTATATCCATGGTATGTAAACATTATACCTACGTATAATGTGCATCTTTACTTTTCCCTCAAAAATTTCGGCCAAAAAGCACACATTATACACAGCAAACTATGGTAGATGTAAGGCTTCTATCACTAATTCCTATCAGTTCCCATCGTCTTTCCATTTGGCGTTCCTGATTAGTAACAGGTTTTAACAGTTAAAAAAAAAATATTCTTAAAAAAAGCCACAGATAGTTTGACATATGGCGGGATCACCTCTGAGGAAGTGGGGGGAGGGGCCACTGAGGGGTGACGCCTCTGCGTGGGGCCAGCACGGCCTTCCGCGCTTTGGGCCCAGGCAGGAGGGGTTGGGGTCAGAGATCTGCGTGCAAGTACAAGGTCAGGGAGTGGTTCTAATAAATATGGAGAGACGTAGCGCTTTCCTTTAGACAGTCAATTACGGCTATTACGACTTTTTTCCCCTAGAGCAATTTAAAGGTCACAGCACAATTAAGAGGAAGGGACAGAGATTTCCCATGCACGTCCCACCCTCACACTCGGCTCCGGCTCCTCCGCCACCCACCTCCCCACCAGAGCGGGACAGTGGTTCCAGCTGGTGAACCGGCAATGTGACCAGCTGAAGCCCATAGCTGGCGTCACGGTTCACTCTTAGGGAAACCCCCACGGTCTGGACAAGCGCAGGCTGCGACGGCAGGACCCTGGAGGTAGTGTCTTTACTGCCCTCTGATTCCGTTCTCTGCCCCTCTACCCCTCCCCCCACCCCAACCTCGGTGAGCCGCTCACCCTGAGACTGTCTTTGCCAGAATGTCACACAGTTGGGATTACAGCCTACGCTGTCTCTTCAGACTGGCTTTTTTCACTGAGTAACATCCACTTATGGTTCCTCCGTGTCTTCCCACGCCTTGAGAGCTCATTTCTTTTTAGTGCTGGACCACAGTGCATTTGCCCATTCGCCCTCTGGAGGGCATGTCGCTTGCTTCCAAGTGCTAGCGATCGAGTCAGGCTGCTCTGCCCGTCCTTGTACGACACCGTTGCGCTATCAGTTTTCAGCTCCTTTCTGTAACTACCAAGGAGCGTGACTGCTGGGCTGTGGGGTCAGACCGTACTTAGTTCTATAAGAAACCACCAACCAGTCTCCCAAGGAGCTACGCCACCTTGCGCTGCCGCCAACCATGAATGAGAGTCCCCGCCCCCCACACCCTCACCAGCCTTGGGTGGCACTGGCGTTCCAGTTTCTAGCCAACGCAAGAGGTTTGTAATGTTGTCGGCCATCTTTCGGGAGGTCCCCAAAGGTTTGTGGACATCTCTGCATGACATTGGACTTTGGCTATGGCATCTCTGTGAGTTTTCCTCGGAGGTCTCTGCATCAGGAATCTTAGCTCACGGGGCCAATGTAAGATCTACTTAATAAGCGCCTACATGTTCATGGCCATGAGCTGCAAGAAACCAGAGATGGATAAAACATCTTTTTTACCCTTAAATGGCTTATCGTCAACTAGATGGATTGCGAAGAGCACGTATGTGTCTATAGATGAAGGCAAGACACAAACAGAGACCACAGGCAGTGCTCTGCGGATGTTCTTCGAGAACAGGGAACAAAGATGTGGCCTTGAGCTATGGAAGGTATCAGTCACAGCCTTCACCCCGGGAACGGGGCTTCCGGCTGGACAGGAGCGAGTCCCAGGGCTTGGACCGGCAGCGGCGCCCTGGGGTAGGGCGCGCAGACGCACTGGCGCCAGAGACCGAGAGCCGCGGCCGCCTGCGCGGGGGCGGCGGGCCCTGGTGAGGACTCCCGGGTTAGGGGACGCGTGGGGGCTGCGGGTGCATCTTAGATGGCACAGTGGATCCAGCGGTTGGTAGGCACCCGAGGTTGCTGACTAACCAAGTGACATGGGACGACAGTTTAATTTCTGGGACAGTCATCTCGCGGCACCATTAGGCAGAACAGTAAGCGCGAGAGAATCGGTGGACGAAGCTATCAGCTGGGAGGCTGTTCCCACAACGGGACTGAAGGGTAAAGTAGGTATGAGTGGACAGGAGGGGACAGGGGACGGCAAAGGCTGAGGGGGACAGAGACGGGGGGCTTTGAGGCTGCAGCGGAGGCACAGTGACAAAGACTTTCAGCTTGGCTGCTGAGAGAGTGGTGCTTTAAAAACGTAATAAGGAATTCAGTTTTGCAGACACTGACGGAGGACATTAAGGTAGAAATGCCGCCGTCTGGGTGAGCCATTTGCGGGAGCGTTAGTGCTAACCAGGGCTCGGGGGCCGCGTGCGCAGGTGCGACAGCGGGTAAGCTCGCTCACTCGCATTGCTGGGCACGAACCAAAGGCAGCTACCACGGACAATAAAATCGCTGATAGATTGTGACTGTATCCGTTAGGAATGCATAAAATGACCCTCTTTGTTTTGAAAAACTGCCTTTCTTAGGCTCCCTCTAAAGCTAGTTTAATTCTCTCACCTCCGAGG